ATCCACCACCCACTATTTTTTTTTTCAAAAGCTTTTTGCCAACAGCACCAATTCTACTTTTAGCTGTTCTTTTTACATTTCCTTTAACCTAGCTTTCTGTTTTGCTTCGGTTCTAAGGTTACATTAGTTTAGCTTAATAAATCTAAAAAAAATTTAGGAAGGTTTTAGATAAAGTAAATATGAAATGAAATTACAGTTTAAAATTTAATAGGCAGTCACTACTTAGCATTCCTTACCAATAATTTTAAGATTTATGTGCACCACTTGAGTAAAGTTTTCAGAATTCAAAACCACTTTTACTGTCAGAGGTTAAGGGTTATCACTTATTTATTTTAAGACAGCTGCCTCATTGCTTGCTCAGTCTATTTACACTTTTTATATATCTTACTGATATTCACATGAAATTTTATGCAGAAACAGTTATAACTGCACATCAGTAGTCACTCCAAAAACCTAACAAGAAATCCAAAGACAAAAGATGACAGATGGCAGAATCTACAACAAGATATTTAAAACTGCCAGCCAGCCTTCAGTAGGCTGAGGAATAAGCCTGTTAAAACTATACTTTCCTCTTCACTGCAGCACCACTACCAACAGTGATCATGATCAACACAAAACTGAACTTCAGAAATCACACTGTCTCTATTTGTGGCCTCCAGCTTACCTAACACAACTAAGCATGAAGTCACATCACCTTCAAACTCCTAAGTAAAGGCTCCTAAGAAGGAAAAAAGCATACAGCTACTCTTTTGCACTCAGGTGTTCTTCAATAACAATAAAAGAGGCAGCTTTGGCTCATGGCGACCATGTGTGATGCAAAATTTTCTGTTTGCAGGAAAGCTAGTTCTCGCTGTCTATTGACACTAACCCCTCTTCAGCCAACCAACCACCCAGATGTCTTTGCATGTGCCCTGTTAATGAAATCCTTGTATTCTCAGCACCCATGGCAAGCTATATCTTCCTGTAGTGCCTAACAGCCTCCCTAAGCAAGTAATCCAAGTGTTAGGTTGCATCTCATCCATTGATTCCCTTTGTCAGGAACACGACAGACACAACCACAGCAAGTTAAGACAAGGACTTAGGTGGAGCCTTCCAAGGTCAGGATCTCTGTCTGGGCAGAGTCCCCCCCAGCTGCAGGAAGAAGACGACTAACAACTACATTGGTGATACACTATTTTTCATACATTTCTTCCCTCTAGGGCATCTCTTACAATACCTGCCTTGTCTTCTGCTGGCAAACTTGGCTGGCTAACATATTTGGTCTCACAGGTGTTTTGGTTTCTCCAAACACTATCAACCATAGGCCATTAAGAACTTTATATGCTCTCAAAGAAACCTGTACTCTGGACAAAAGTATATAACCATAATTAAACCCGTAACCTGATGCACATTTTATGACATCAGTAAAGGTGGTTCTTCTGAACTAATATGTATTTTTATATGTGAAAGCAAGAAGGTATATAGCAAATTATTCAGCGTTCCAAAAAATATCAAAGGCTCCCTACGTACCAATGTGTTGCCTCCTATCAAACATAATTATAATGATGTGTGTGGGTTAATTCCAATACTGTACTTCATATTCAAGTACCACACAAGAAATTCATCTGTTTCTGTAAGAAAAGGCTTCAGCTTCGGAAGATCATGTAATTTTAAAAAATGCAACACAGACTATTTAGAAGCGATCTAAGAAAGAACCCAGGTTCACAGTGACTCACCCTTCAAAACCATTTTTCTTCACAAGTCACAAGTCAAACCAGCATCTCTCACCAAACTTCCACATCAGAAAAGGTTACTACAATGGACAGCTAATTAATATGTAAGTCCATAATAATTTCCCGAACATAAGAATCAATAGTTCAAACTAATTCTCAAAGGTATGATGACTTGGGCAGCTGGTGTTCACTTCATTACTGAGAGCTCTTTCCTATAACTGCAGGAGGCTGCAAACTCCACTATCATTGCAGAGCCTGTTTACCCTATATGTCATTTTTTGTTACAATATTGAACCAAAACCCACAGCAGGAGATAGGAATTATTATGCTTGGCGCAGTACTAACAATGGCATATCACTAAGTTTTGATGACTGTCTCAAAGGAAAGTAGTTTTCAAGTCTGAACTTGGGGGACAGGAGGGGACTAAGCAACAGCTCATGGGGAGAAACTTTGATCAAGTCTCAGGTTGATCAAAGGGTCACCCAATACCCGATTTTTAAAAGCCTCTCCGGCCCTCCTGGAGACAAAGGTAGAAAAGACATGGGGAGACACTCTAAAAGCAGACAGTGTTATCAACTACAAGGCAGGCCATAGTAAATGAAAACTGACTTCACAAGAGATGAGAAATAAGCTATGATTTGAAGAAAAGTTTGGAACAAAAGCAGAGTACTGAATTCCCCACAGTACACAAATTTTGACACCAAGTACATTCAGGAAAAAGTGGCTAGAAAAAGTGTGGGCATTATTATTTGGTTTATCTTGTTTTCTTAGAGTCAAAAGGAAGACTGATTGCTTTTTAAAGGTATCGCAAGTACTCAAGAATTCAATCTGTGCAAAATTTCTATTCATTTTCCAAACTCAGTAACACAAATCTCCTCTGGCAGTAAAACTGCCAGACACTACAAAAACAGGCAGATACATTTCCTCGCCCCCTGCCTGGCAATCGTAAGCTTCCAGACTCTGTAACAGAGCAATGAAATCCCAGTGGAATTTTGTCATCCAGGAGACAGCAGTAAACCCTGTGTTCTTCTGAACAGATAAGCAATGGCCAGACAGAAATTGAGATTTGCATTATTTAGAAAAACAAAGTCTTGTGGAGTGCTGTTTCTCTTTGCTTCTATCTGACTGCCTTTCTGCCTTGCATGTGGCACCAGCTTCTCAGACTATCCATATCAACACAGCCAATGTAAATACTACTGCATGCAATGCCAATCCCAATGCCTGTAAAACCTATTTAAATACAGACTTCAACAGGAAGACTTCAACTGTTTTTGCACTATCCCTCCTACTGTTGGCACATAACACACAATATTTGCTGAGGATGATGCTTAGGTTTACCTTAAATAGGTATCACCACACAGGCACATCAGCATTTACTTATCAGGTGAAGTTTATATGTCTCATTTTGAAAGTACTGTAACAAAAAGATGCATGCAAATTGTCCTATTATCTGAGCTTGTGCCCAAGAATGACAGGAATTCATCTGCTAAAGATATATGCTGTGGATCTACTTCAGTAAATGAATCTGCCCAGTAAGATTGAAGCCCAAGTACATTCAGAGGATATTTACTAAGTTTACTTGCCTGTCAAGAGCAGTAAGAGGGAATTAAGGTTCATCAGAAAGAGATAATAATGGATGCCTGCAGCCCTGACAGATAGTGCTACTACAGAAAAATCACATTAATGCAGTTAAGATCTTCACTAAGGAAGAACTACTTTTACCCAACATGACTAACTTAACATATACAAGCCTGACATAGCAATTCATAGCTGAATCTAAATGTATAGAGAACAAATAAAAAAAATAATCAAAATACTTTGTTTTCTCTGCCAGCTATCTATGTACCTAGACAAATGGTAGAAAATAAAAACTGGTCTCTCTTGCTGTATTTCAATGTCTACCTCTGAAATCAAATGAAAGGAAGAAATATATTCTCTTTGCTTAAAAACTCCAATTTCACTTTCAAGGCTTTTATTTTTTTACCTGAACTACAAGTTAAACTGCAAGCATATCTTAAGTTTGGAAGAAAGAACAAAAAAGAACAGCAAGACAAATTACAGACATTAATTACTCAACAGAGCACCAATGTTATTCTAATGCAATTTTTCACTATGTTTTACTGAAATTTAAACTGTATTACAGTTCTTGACTGGTTCTTGACACTAATTCTACATTCAATAAATAAACACAAGCTTTCTGACAATTCAAAAGTTTACAGTACATTTTGCTAGGATAAAGTTCCAGGCCAAAACTTGCTGTCCACTTCATAATAATCATAGCCTCACTACAAGGTAACAGCTAAATTAAAATAATTTTAAATGAACAAAAAACATAGGCTAACTTTCAAAGCCAAGAACTGTTCCATTCACCAGACGACTAACACCTGGGGAGGAAAAGTGTCAAACAACACTTATAAAAATGCTAAGAAGTCAGACATCCTACTCTGAAGATATTTCGCTTCTGCTTCTGTGGCTCTGCCAGGCCAGCAGTGGCAACAGTTTCAATGAGGAAATGGATCTCCTAACACCCTTCTCAGAGAATGAAAGGCACATTTTGCAAAGGAGAAAAGTACATTTTCTGAGAAGCAGAAAGAGAAAAGGCATTTGGGTATTCTGAGCAAACTGTCAAAGAGTGACTGGGGGGCCATGCTCCTGGTAGGAATTCAGCTTCAGACAGACCAGGAAATCCCGTGATTATCATCTATGAAAACTGCACCTTTGGCTGCCACATGAAGTACAGAACAAATGCATGACTATTCATGATGAATATCGAAATTACATACCTCAGCAGAACTCAAGGCTTTTACACTTTCAGATACCATATGAAAGGATAAATGACATGACAAAGGTCACACCAATACAGTGAGAAAAACTCACTTCCAAGTCGGACTTACTCTCATGCTGACACTGACAGCATACAAACACCAACATGCAGCACAGTGTTTTGTTGCCTTTTATAAACAGCCCTTTGAAAAGCTGGAATAAACTCTCTTTCCAGTATATTGTTTCCAGTGCCTTAGTAAGAAAATAAAAGGCAAAGTAGTGAAGTTCACCATGACAGGGTTACACATGTACAAAAACAAGTACATTAATTAAATACTGATTTTTAGTTGAAAATTTCCAATACCATACTCTCTGAATAAAGTGACTAAAAGAAAGAAAACTCTTTCAATATAACAATACAACAACAAGCATGTGAGTGTGTGGGGCAAGGGTCAGGAACAGGTAGGGGTATTAATATGCTATCAAATTAAAGGTAGTTCATACAGTTATTCTGTTTCTACTTACTGTATTGGGTACATACGGCAAACCATAAACCTTCTCCTGTGTCTCCTTTAAAATTTCCGTGGTTGACTTTTTTAGAGGGTGTTTACCATGGTAGATTTGGTCCAAGACAGCATAAAACACCTGAAGAAATAAAATACATATTTGTCTTCGGCACATGGCGTTGGCATTTGAAAAACCAATAAAAAGACAAATAGAAAAGAGTGTGAGAGATGGACTAGGGAGAGGGAAGAGTTTAAATTCATATGGTTTTATAAATCTTCTATTTTTAGTATAATGCACAAGGAGAGAAGCAGGTTTTTGGATGACACCAACCACCACCATCATGACTGCATTTTTAAATAAATTAGGACCTGTCCCTAAAGCCGTCCAGCAATTTCCCTTCTCAAAAAGAGTATTTTTAAAGATATTTAATTTTTTTTAAGAAAAACTATTTTTAAGTTATTTATTTTAAAGTTATTTGAGTGGACAGAGCAAAATAAACTATTTCAAGATGTGTGCATGCAGCCATGAGAACACTTCACACCTGCAGGGGCAAGTTACAGCCTGGGGAGCGAACATAAGAATTATACAATAATAGAATCATTGAGGTTGGAAAAGATCTCATGATGATGAAGTCCAATCTTTGGCCTAAAAGCACCATGCCCACTACACGGAGCTGCTGATGCTACAGAGTTTCTGCTAGAGCCTTTGAACGATGTAGTACTAAGGCAGATTTTTGCTTTTATTTTAGCTCTCACCATCAGAGCAATAAGCTGCTAGAGTGTAAGCTTAGCCTGAGATCACACTGCACCAGGAGGGTACTTTGCCAGAAGTAAGAGCTGCTTCATAGGCAATTTTCAACAGAACCACAGGCGCATGACTAAATTACCGAGGTGTCTAGAGACTGGGACAGCAGCACGAGAAAAAGACTTTTCAAGCAAAAACAGCAAAGCAGAGTATCTGGCACTTAAACAGCAAACATAAAACAGACATGGACAGAAGACAGTGCTAAGGCTCTGTGTGTGCCATCACTGAAAATAATTGCAGCTTTTTTTCTTTTTTAACATGAAGACTTCCTATTCTGTGGAAGTGCAGGAAAGACAGAAAAAGAGGACACCCACTGCTGTGCAACACCAGATATTTCTAAGAAGTCTGATGGATTTAAGGGAAGAGTTCAGTTCAGGCCATCCTGTGGTAGTCCCACTTCATAGGAAAATTGACAGTAGGGAGCCTCAAAAAGCTTTTGTGCAAGGAATGAAGTAAATAATTAGCTAGAGACTCAGGCCCAGTCACACTCCCAGGGCCACTGCAACGCCATCCCCAGTGACATAAATACACTGTTCCAGGAATTATAACCATGAAATTTTATGGAGAAGAAGTTGTTTGGATGTTTTATGTGATCTGAGTAACACAAGCCCCTCAACCTCTGAAAAGATTCTTTATTATGAAATTTGGGTACAAACCATTCTGAACTCTTCAATAATTTATCCAAATTCAGCATGTATTTTATTTGCTCTGGATGCAAAATGTATTTTCACCAAAATTGTGACTGTTTCTAAAGGACCATATTCCTTCTGTCTGAATAAGCTGTCTTTTAACATACAGAACCTGGATAAATCCTTTGACGGTGTCTCTTGACAAATGATAAATGTGAAAATTGATTTTTTTTTTTCCCAAAAAAAAAGAGGATTATAAGGAGAGGGGTGAATAAGCCGTGACTTGCAGGAGCTACTCCTAGATTTTCTGCTTGCTTCCTACATGGCTAATGGGGAAAAAAGAGGTCAGTAAGACTAAACTTGCATAATCACCCATTAGTGGCATTGCAAGTTTTGTGTCCTACATAGCAACACTGAACAAGACATCGCTCCTCTACAAACCCAGAGTAGGCAGCAAGTTATCTGCTCAGAGGATAACTCCATGAAGATGCAACACCAAATGGCAAACAATAATGAGTACTTTATTTTTTGAAACTAAAATTTTGCAGGGGTCTTTTTAAATTTTCCATCATTATATTGATAATGTGAAAAACTAAAAATCTAAAGATAAACCTAGACTGGACTGTAAAAACTATAATATTTTTTACTCTTAGAAGAGAAAGAGGTTTTACAATGCCTTTGCTAATACTTCTCATTCTCAGAGCTGGTCTCTAGAATCCAATTCAACATAGTTTAACAAAAGCTACAGCATTTATGGTAGCAAGGGTGACTGAGAATATGACCAACAGTAAGTAACATGAATAGACCCAAAAATTACATGATGTAACAGTCCTAGAAAGCTCACTTTCTCCTGTTACCCTAGGCCTTTGTGACTCTGCAGGAGTTATTTCACACTGACTTCCCTCTCCTCTCTAAAAAACCCAAACCAAACAGGAACCTCAGCATCCCACAACAGATTTTAGCATTCAGCTTCAGCACAACCTTTATTCTCTTTTATCTCTCTCTCAGCTTTGTTAGGACCAGTTTGCAGTTACTCCTTAGTGTTCCTCACAAGAGGGAACGGACTGCACTGCAGTGGACCTTCTCTAAAGTGAAACTGAGGGTCAAGTAGTTTGCGTTCAAAGGCGGAACTCAACTCACAGCTATGAAGTGAGGAAATGTCAGCTGAAGGCCAGTGAAATGGACTGCCTAAAGAGCAATGTGGTGATAGGGAAATGAGTCACTGAAGTCAGCTATAAGCTTTCCCTTGATCCTGGCACATGTAGAGTGTGAGAAGAAAGCTATGAGCCAGACCACCTGGACAGCACAGTTAAAAAACCCCCATGCCTGGAAATAAACTTGGATGAACTTTCTACCCATAAACATTCCCATCTACAAACCACAGCTCTGTGTGTTTACACAGGGCTTTGAAATGGGAAAGGGAGACACATCCCAGGACCACAGGATTTTAGGTGATATTGCTGAGGAGCAAGCTAATACTTAATATTAAGCAGTAGCTAGAAGATGATTTCTAATTTCAGTAAAACATGTTTCTCAAAAGACCTAAAAATATGAAAAGGCCATCAAATAGTTATCTATCTTCATACTGTCTCTCTATTTTGCACTTACATTGATATTTATTAGTTTCACTTGATTCCAATTCTTTCTAGCTCCTTGTCTGCTTAATAGCGTTTATATGTGAACACTTATGCATTTTCCAGTGAAGTTACTACTGACTGAAAGACTCTGGGACTCAATATGCCTGGCAAAAGCCTTAGGAGAAGATGCGTGAACTCTCCTATCTTTCCTCCTGAGTAACTGATTACATGACCTAAAAGAAAATTCAGAGGTATCATAGTTAAGAAAAAGCAGCACCATTTCTTACTTTCACATGCCAATAGACTTATTTTCTCAACAGATCACAAAAGAACCTTCAGGTGTTTTCTGTAGTGCTGGAATATTTTTTAGCATTTTTCCTTCTTTTAAAGGTCAAATATGGCTTACATAGCATCTAGTCATCAAGACAGAATATAGTCTTTGCGAAGTCTGAAGGAAAGGTATTAGAATCGTCATTCACAATTTTTTCAGGTATATACATTAGTTAGCACATATATACTTCGGCAACCGCAGACTACAAGGTATTTTTCTTCAATTATTATACCTCTAAATCTGTATGAGTAACAGTATGTACTTCTACAAAGGAACATAATAGTTTTATATCTGCCACGCAGTCAACTTCTCTGGGACATTTTTTCTGAATTAATAAACAGAACAGCCCCGCCATCTGTTTCTTTGAAATGACTGCACACTTCTGCAGGTTTTATATTTGGAATCTTCAAAAACATAGTGCTGAAAGTAGGAAATGAATAATACTATTCAGTGTGGCATTGTGGTCACCTGGCATGAGTTGAAACGGGTTGAACATTAGTTGCACAAGAGTAATTTGAGGGCAAGCAGCCTGCTTAATCACTGCATCACTGCCAGCACCAGTCAATCATTAGGGACCCATAGGAATTTGAGCCCACCAGAAGTGGATGTTTTCTCCCCAGTTCTTAAGTCATGGGGTGTGGAGTCACTCCAGGACAGACCCTACAGGGGCCCCAAAAGCTGAGGGCCAACAGCAGCAGGGGGACTGCACAGCCCAACACGAGCAATTGATGCGATGACCTCTCCTTTTGGAATCTGCCATCTGTCGCACCGCAGGACAGGGAGGCCACGTCACTTGTGAATATATCTGCGACTTACAGTGTTCTTGGCATACAAGCCCATTTAGCCTCCACACTGCCAATTTGGTCTCAAACCTTGACAAGATTATGGCAAATACATATTAAAAGCTGAAAGGAAATCTGTCAGATCTATAAATAGCTGTTATGGGTGGACACACTCGGAAAGAATGGGCACATGTGAAAGGACTTGATCATCACTTTGGTGGTTACTAATCCACGCATGCATTGTGCACTCATGAATATAGGTTCACAATTAAGCATTCGCAGCGCAAATTTTATTTCCATCTAGAATTTTTCTGCCCCCAATAAAAACGTCCTATATGAACTATTTATATTCTTGCCCACATTCTTTCTAGATTATCAGATATCTCTATGAGAATCTTCCAAAGCCAGGAGTGTGCATTTCAGAATCAGACCTGCAGAGAGGGTGCAGTTATATTTGCATGTCACAGAGGTATAGCCACAGATAGCACCCTTCTTGTTGACACTTGCTCAGCCAACCCTGGCTGCTGACAGCCAGCACTGCACTGAAAGCATAATTCAAAAGTCCATTAGGTTTAACCAATGAAAAATACATGTATACATTGAAAACAGTGTTCAGTCTGGCTTTGATTAGTGTAACTGACGTGTGTACAATTTACAGGTCCACACTCCAGACTTCTGATTAATTTTAAATTCCTTCAAATAACTGCACAGAGCAAACTGCCAATATTTAACTGAGTTTTAATTTTAGATCAACTTCAGTTAACCACTGCAACTCATGCTTGTAGACAGGGTTGTGATCACTTGGGAATTCCTCAAAGCGAAAAATTACAAAAATCTGATCTTTAAATTTGTTTCTTTCTACATCTCAAAAATAATAACTAAACTTTACTAAGGTACTAGCAGAGTTATCTCACCTAAACACCAGGTTAACTGTAAAAGGAAAACTTATATGCTTCTGACTTAAGGGAAAACAAAGAAGAAAACAAAATCACAAAAATCACACAGGAGAAACTTGTAGCACACTAAATGCAGCCAAACTCGCACTGTAAAAACCCTTGACTGGATGCTAATGCTGCTGTACACATCGGAGAATCGCTGTTGTACGACAGAAAAAGACCAAATACCCATTTTAGACAGAACCCTAACTTCCCTTACTTTCTTTGAAGAACAGCAACACTGATTGTTTATGTGAATGACTGATCAATCGCACCTACCCAGAGAAAATAAAGGTTTATGAATTTAGTTAGTTCTCCTAACACCGTGAGAGAGAAATCTTACATGCTTACAGCTCAGCCAGCAATTCCAATGTGATAAATCGTCACTTTCATAGTGGAGCTACAGAAGACAAGGAGCTCAAATCACATTGTAGTAAATAAACATGATGGTCTGATTTTTCTAAGGTGGCCCGTATCTCTCAGTCCTGTGACATTTTAATGATTTCAGGTATCCAATACATCCTCTACTTCAAGTTCTCCGTAAATGATTCCATTAATTCAAGAATTCAATCTTAAAACACACTTGGGAATTCTGATAATGCAAACATTTTCAAAGCCATGAGTTTCATTATATTTTCCTACAGATTTAGGCATTTAGCTCGAAGCAGACAGCACAGAACACATTCAGAAAAACAAACATGACAATTAAGAAAAAAAACAGATAATGTGTCTACATTAAAATTAAAATTTGGTAAAATCATAGGAACTAAAATATGTTCTTTAAGTTCTGAATAGAGAATAGAAACTAGAATGCAAAGAACATACCTGGAGTTGCATATCAGCTGCAGCACACACCTTTTTGGACTCACACAGTCTTGACACCATGTTTTTGGGTAGTGGCTTGAATTAAAAAAAAATTCAGATCACAGAATTATTGTACATTTTTAAACAGGATGGTAATTATTAGAAGAGGCTGAAGATACAAAAAAACTTGATGGTAATAAAACCACATTTGAAGTACTTTGCATTGAGGAAGGAAATGTCATTTGTGGAGCAAAGCATTAAACAGTCAATTAAGATATCAGCAGTAATTTACATAGCAATAGAGAAATCACTGTGTCTCTGTTTTTCTATAAATTGATGTCATATTCCCTTATATGCCTGTTAAAAATGTTATTACTATCTTTAGAGATAAAGAACAGATTGGAGCAGTTAAAGCCCTCCCAGATCATTCTGTCTTAACCAAATGAATTAAACAGGGATAAAATAACTAGGATCTTGCTAAAATATTAAGAAAGGTACTACAAGTTGTACAATGTAATATGGATGCTCACTATTAAACCGGACTCTAAAATCATACCTATGCTTTTTATAGTGCGTTACAGTGTTTAAGAAATAATACAAGAAAGTCTATAGATATGGCAGAGCCATATGTTTAGATTCGGTGCAAATTATATGACTTCAAGACAAACAATGTTCACAGAATAAAAAATCCAGCTCAGAGAAGTTACACATAAGTGAAGAAAATATTATGAATTAACTCTGTGGAATCTGGAACTTGAAGCAGGTAAGAAAAACTATCAAGTTGCATGGTTGTTTATGCAATACTTGCTAACACTTTTAACCTCTTCTCCAAGTCAAAAGTTAGCTGGGCCAAGAATGGTATAGAATAACATCCACTATTTTGCCTGTCATATATGTGCACAGCTTTTAAATTTCAACACACAAAAATGAACGAACAAACATGAAGCCTGTCCTGCAGTATATCCTTGTTGGGCCAATATTACCCTTCACAAATACAAAAAAAATTAGATTAAATTGAAAGAATGATAAAGAGATTGCTTATTTTTCCCTGAAACACCTTTGGGTCTTAATACTTAAGATTTCAGGGAAACAAAATTTTACTCCAGAGAGTTTTTCAAAGATCACTACTGTTCTCTAAAGTATGTTTCTGTGAATGTCATGCACACAGATATGCTGAGGTCTTGAACTCAGGAAGATGTATTGTTTCAGGCAATAGAAACTCTTCCTCCTTGCTTCATTACAATCTCACACAGCCCATTGATAAGCAGCTGAGTGAAGGAAAAAAAAATCAGCATGAGTATTTTACTTATCCTAAAAGATGAGCTCTTGGATAAAACCAGAATGCAACAGCCATCCTCCTTCTAAAAGAAAGACAGCCTTCACAGAGCTTTGGCTACAACTTTATTAATTGAATAACCATTCAATTTTTTAAATCTAAACACTATATGCTTTACTTTGCATTCCACTTTTCCATCCTTCTAAGTAATTTGAAGGCCTTGGAATGAATTTTTCAGCATGTTTTTCATGGTAGCTAAAAGAACAGAATTCCCTGTGTCCCAAAGCACTCTTAACTCCTTACTGTTTTGTAGTAACTGCAATACATTACAATTGTTAACTATCTGTGGGCTTACTTTTGTAATCATGCTAATACAATACTGTCCTTGTAATTCCATCTCTGTGAAAAATGAACTCAGTTCAAATTTGAACAGTTGAAATGTTGGCCTTTGTTAAAGAGAGCCTCCAAAGACACACAAGCTTAAAATGATTTAGCTCAGACCTACCACATATCTGTGCACTTAACAAATGAAATTAAACAAACAAACACAGTGGTACAGAATGGTACCCATGCACCGGATTGTCTGCTTAAGCAGACCTCACTTCGGTATGGTTTGACTCATGAGCTTACTTGACTAATTCAACTTTAGTAACTAATTAACGCAGTCCCCTCTATTCCTTTTTTTTTATCTCAAGGATTTTCTGTTTTGAGTTATCTTTCAGATGGAAGGAAAAGTAGGCTTGTAACTTTCTTGAAACAAACATTTTTGTACTGGTCAAGTTTTACAACTAAATTCAAAAGACTTGCTCCTTTTGCCAGAAGAGCTTGCAAGCTTTGTCACTCCTCAGTATTTAACAACACAACCATCAAAAATGGACAGAAAGCAGACACAAGCTTTCTGTAAACTTCAAGATACTTTGGACCACATCCTCATGATCTACATCTAAATGTTGAATGCATTCTCATCTTTGAAAGCCTGCCAACCAATTTTTTTCTGCAATGCTACTGAAATACAGTTTTCAACAGTCCACATGCTTTAATAACCAAAACACCTCTTCCCTCCCTCCTCTTCCCATAAGCATAAGCAACAATCTTAAGTGTGGATCATCAAGGATAAGTCCTTCTACAATTGGCTTTTATAGCAATGGCAATCATAAGCTCAGACTACACTAACAAGTTTCTCTGACGTAATTACGTTCAATAGGACTGTTAAAAATTACACAACCTGAAGTCTACCCACAAAAACGTAGATGCAGCAATGCCAAAAGAAGGATGCTTTTTCAAATTATCTGCACGGCCTCTGTCACAGGCTGGGTCGGTAGAAAGCCTTCCTTCTGTCAACGTCCAGCAGAGCTACGTTGGTGTAGTTGTTGCAGAAAAGATCCTTCTCACACAGAAAAGCTCAGTCTCTTAATTCATAAGAAGAAACTCAGTGGAAATTCTCATACAAAACAACATTTGGATTAAATTGTTTTACAAATTTCACATTTTAACTTTTTCATCCACCTTCCTTACTTCCCCTTGAAAAGGGGGTGAAGTGGACTCATTTTCTTTCAAATAACTAAAAAAATGGAGGAAAAAAACAAAGATTGAATTTCCTATTTGCACAACAAAAAATTAATCAGGGAAAAAGCAGAGAAAATAAGCCCTAAAAAGATCTCTGCGAAGTTGTAAGGTGGGATTTTCTACTCAAAGTACTTTGTAACATATACACAACAGATAAAAGTAATTAGTATAACAATCACTAAATTTCAAGAACAGAAAAGATTACTTCAATCTATTAATATTTAAATGGCAGACACAGAAATCCGATATTAGGTTCTTAAAATCAGCTTAGATGAACCAGTATAAGCAAAAGCAGATTTATATATGTTGGATAATGGCTTAAAAATCCATTCCAAAATTTTCAAAAAGCAATTAAAAGGAAGCCATCTAAAGCCCTCAAAAGCCACAGAGCAGTTTCAGGCTCTTCTTCTCATCTTCCAGCATAATCCATTCTTGCCCCCTTCAAGACTGAATTTCTACATCAAACTTCTCTCAATTGCTCTCTGAAAGAGGAAGATTTCACCACCAATAAACAGAAGAAGTTTATGGAAATGCCAAATGGGACACAGCGTCTGGTTCTTAGCTTTTGCATTGAAACTAAACATGGTTTAGATTTGTTAAGTCATTTTGAAAATATAAAGCCATAAATAATGTTCCACAAATCTCTTTCAGATGTTTTAGTGAAGCTCATTCTCTAAACTCATATGCAGTCAGATTAACTCCATGCTGTTTAAACACTACATGAACTTTACAGAGAACACCAGAAAGCAATATTTCAGTATGTGGACTCAAACATATAAATGAGGAACACTCCTGATCTGGGTACACTTAACTTCCAGGTTTCAACAAGATCAGTGCAATCAATTCTACAGAAATGGTTGCTTTGTTGCAGAAAAAAAAAAATATTTACAGAGCAAATTTCTCAGACAGTATCCATTAAAATAGAAGTTAAGCAACATATTTTCCTAACTTTTCAATGGAGGCAAACATAATTCTACTTCCACAATACTGAAATACACTGAACGCTTAGTATTGGATAAAAAGCTTCAATGAAGTGTAACACACTACACAACTTAAAAGGCATTTCTGAAACGTCTGTACAAATACAAATAATTTTCTGCTGTCGTATCTTAAAGCGATCACGAAAAGTCACCTTGTTCCAAAGAGCACTGTTCTTTAAATATTCCACAGAAAGCAGATCCTTGCAGGAGACTGATACACAATAGCTTCATGTAAAAAAGGCATCAGTTTTAATGCAGAGATGCATTAAAAATGCATCTAACAGAATCTAACTAATCCTAATTTAATCCTAAATAGAGCAGTATGGTTTTCATCACAAACTATTTCAATCACCACCCCATACTGTGTTAAAAATGGGAGTTTTTAAACACTGCAGATCCTTTCCATTTTTGTCCATGATTTGGTACCTGAGCTTTATTTTAAGATAGACTTTAGAGAGTTCAGTGATTAATCCTATTTTTGTCATAACTTACCTGTAATTAAATTATTTCAAATAATTCACACAGAAATTGTTCACCTACCACACTAGGTAAGAGAAAAAAGCCTGAAATTTTTAAGTATGTGATTTGAACCTTGGATATAAGAATCTGGTATTCTTTTGCAGATTACATTTATCTTTTCTGCAATGACAACACTTACATTTTTTCTGAATAACTGAAATTATAATATTAAAATATTTTCTACCCATTGTTTATTTCTACTTTAAACATTATTGATAAATTACACATGAAAATATTATTCTTTTCCTAAATACATTAATTCCTATTTTCAATATTTTACACATTATATTTCCCTACCTGTCCTGTTTTATAATGCCTTGCAAACTGGTTAACCACTCGATAGTCATTTGCAAAGTACTCCATCAGAATTGAGGGAACTTCAGCAAAATCAGTAGGACATCTGGTCCCTAGAGGTAGAATAATTGTACATATTAGCATTTGCTATTTTCATTAACACAAATAGTTAACTCTCCCAAAAGGTTTTGCAACTTTCAGTTTGGACTTTTGGTGAACTTTAACGTTCTTTCATTTATTAAGTCAATATTTTATTTCCATTATTGTACATATTGCCAGAAAAGCTTCATTATAATCCTACACATTTTACTATAAATCACAAAGTAAAACAAAATATTTGAACAGCTGGGTGAGGCACCTTATAAAGCTCTGGATCACACCCTTTTTAAACTAAACCAGACTGTAGCCAAACTGGCCCTACATGAAACATCGAATCTATTTAAGTGTCCTAAACCTAAATTAAACTACAATGTAAATAAAACTCTGCCTTAATCCCATTCACAGTTACAATTTTTAGCTTCCATCTGTTTGCTGAGCTTACTTATGTTTTATATTAACCTCACTTTATAACACCAAGTCATTCATTCAAGGAACAATCTTGCAGATTGAAGACATGTTCTGTGTAAGTGCAGTGAGGTAATATGTTAGTATTTTCAAATAGTACTTTCCCAAAAACTTTATTTACGCTAATCTTTATCAGCACCTTACACAACGGAAGTTATTAAAAAGCATAACACATCACCAAATCAAAGTTGAATTTTTAACTTCTGTATTAAAGTCAGCAATGTAAAAGTTGTTGCTTTAATAATGGACCCACTGGGTTATTACCTCTATCCCTGTCTGCTAGAGACAATATCAACATTCAAAATCAGTCTTAAATCTATGTAAGCTTTTACTATTTTTTAAAGACTATTTTTTAAAATCACTCCTTTCATCTTCATAAACCCTTCTCTAATTTTTAATCTTAATTTATAATATGTTTATATTCAATGTTTTCAGACAAATACTACTCTTTAGTATAAACAGCATTTGTCACGCTGTTTTTTACCTCCTAAATTGAGAGAAACCATCTTCTAAGAGTCATCATTATCCAAAGGCAAGATAAAGTCTAAAAAACTATCCATTGCAGTTCTTCACTGTACTTGCTTCAGATTGAACTCACCTTCAGACTAGAGACACAAAAACTATGCCCAAGATTGCATGAGGTTTCACCAGTATCTCTACCATTCTAACACGTACTGCTGTTACATACAGCTCTAATGCAATTTCAAATCACATTTGACTCTTTCACAGACACATTAGCTATATGCAGTTCTGCATTACATAAAACTGTTCTTGTTTCTCCACTACTGCTGAAAAATCCAAGCATAAATTCTCTTTGTACTCTGCAAACGCATGATGTGCACTGTGTAGTTCTGAATTATATTTTATTTCTAAGACTTTAGTATCCAGTCATTCAGCTCTTATGCAATCCATCTTTTGTGCCATCACATTTCATTAGTAGTCTTTTTTTGTTGTTGTTTGAAAATAATTTTTAAAAAGCCTAAAACAAGGCAGGTCCCAAGACAAAAGCCTGCAAAACTACACCAGTCTAGGTATTTATGCTTTCTCAGTGCTCCTTAACAAAGTAACATAATTCTTTTAATAACCATTGAAGAAACTCATGATTTATGTTATCTGAAAATCAGAAAGGTAAAAGGTTGGGCAGTTATCTGGGATAAGTTAGCCCTCCTGTAAAACAAATGTAGGTATTCTATACTGCATGATAAACTGAAATGGAATTCAAGGCTACATTTTGAAAAATCTTATACATACATATGCATGAAACAACCAATAAATGCATATGGTAAAATGAAAGATTAGCTTAAAAAGAAGCACATCTTAAGTTAAAAACATATAGTATTATCCAAGTTTTGGGCCCACTGAGGGCAGGATGGGTTCCTGAATATTTGGGAATGTAATCAGAAAAAGAAGGTGGGAGAGAGCAGGAAAGATGTCAAATACTCATCTCATCTCAACTAGAATGTCAAATTTTTTGTTCTCACGATAGCCTGCAGTCATCTTGTTTCCATACTTTGCCACCCTAGTGTTTCATGAGGAGATGGCCCCTAACAGACATCCCTGGGACGAGCCCTTTGACTGCTAAACATTCCAAATCCAAAAAAAAAAAAAAAAAAAAGATTCTCTGCAGAAACAACACCACTGACCTCCAATGCTGCTTTTGCAATGCTAGATCTCGAGTTAAATCCTCTGGGATACAGGACTGCCTGGAGCTAAGGCAACACTGAAACCATACACAGGGGCTCCTGGAAAGTCTGAGGCCTCAAAATTAGCCATTTCCTGCCCCTTTAAGACTTTGACATGCAGACACATGATTCAGCACAAGAGAACTCTCACCAAAGCAGTTACTTTGGGCATCTAAGTACTCCTGTAGGTCAAGATGAGCAAGGCTGTATGAGTGGAAGCAGTGGGGGAGGGTCCTTAACTGTCCCAAGGACTACACAGAGCTTATACTGAAAGAGCGCATGCTGTGTTCAGTTGTTTTAACCATGTCCAGTAGAGACATACTCAGAAACAGCTCAGCATATTTTAATTTTATGTGGAAGACTTAAAAAAAAAGTATCTTTTGCCTCTGGGTGCAGAGGTATGTATTGATAAAATATTAACTGTACCATGGACACCCCTTTGTATCATTAGCCTAATGTAAAAATAGTAAAACATTAAAAAAAATTCTTCAGACAAGGAAGCCGCAATCGCATCTGTTCAGTTGTGGGCTTTTTAATATGTAAATGTCCACTGCACTAGGGATTTTCAGCACACTGTTATAGAAAAGAATATACCAAGCTGTCCACAGCCAAAAAAAGTAGCATGCCAAGCAGCCTTAGCCAGCACGTCTTGGACCTATTTGCCACAACTGCAGAAGGCTATAGAAGCCAGCAACCTGTCAGCCAATACACTTACTGCCACTACTTGAGAAAGGAGCCTAAATTAAAAAAGGCAATATTCCTTTCCTGTGCATCCAGTAAGCTGTGATTGCATATTCGTTTGTGTTCACTCATGTATGACTAAAAGGCCCACCAGTTAGTCATGCTTGCAAATACAGTATGCTTTCAATGTATCAGTTTTGCTTTAATCAGAATCAACTAGGAAAGTCCTGGCTTTACAGATTTTTCTACATTGCCAGTGTATGCTCTTTGCAAGACCTAATTCACTAATTCTTCTTCATTCAATTTCCTAAATCATTTCCAACCCAGATACAACTTTAGTTTGATCTATTTTCAATCCTCCAAGTGTTCCAACAATTAAAAACGCCACATAAGGCAAACTTGCAAGAGTGGGTACCAACAACAGAACAAAGATCAACAGTACATAAAGAAGAGGTGCAAATGCCTAATTCTTATTAGAAGAAGAATAATATTCAAGAGTTGTTTGGTTGATTTTAGATAATATCTGAGGACCTGATACTGCATTTTCAAGTCTTCAAAGGTGTAGAACTATCCGCATGACTCAACCATTGCTAGTTCGTACTCTTTTTTTTCTTGTTTTGTTCTGATTTTTTTTTTTTAATCCACTCTTTTCTTCTGGAAATTAAACATTTCACTAAAACAAAACAAAAAAATCACTGTTAAAGCATTCTTACCAGTGACGTGCTGGTACCGAGTTCTTCCCAGCATAGAATGCATAGCATGTCCCATTTCATGGAAGAGATTCTCCATCATGCCAGGACTTAATAGTGTTGGTGCACCCCTTGCTGAATGGGGAAGGCTAAGCATAAGAACAACAACAGGTAGCTGGTACTCTCCATTTTCCCTTAGCCTTCCTCCTCGAACTGTAAAGTGACAATCCTTTTCAAGATAAACGCAAACATATGGACAGCCAATGTCATTACATCAATGATATTAAAACAATTATTAAATTAAACCTAAATTGTTAAATCTAACCATATACTCAGTTACACAACTAGAATTCAATGATCACTAAGAGTGTTGTTCAATAGCAGCTCACTGTTTCTCCATCTTTATTATTTGTTTCAAATTCATATGGAAATTACTTTATTCCATAAAGAAAACACCATGTTGCTCTTAGAAAATACTGGTTTTTAGAATTATCAAAACCTCTCAGTTTTTCTAAAAAAATATCACAAGCTCAAAGAAATTTACTGATGTGTCAAATCCATAATGTATAGATTAAGTTTTCCTCTCACTCTTCAGCAATAACTTCTTTATCTTAATACCACACAGCACTCCTATCGTGAAAAATTAGCAAAACAGAGCAGTACATTAAGCTAATGTAGATTTAAAATTTGTCCACTCATCACCTCACTAAAGGTGATAATTTGCAGATGCTTCTACTGAGTGACGTGTGTATTGTAGTGCATCATATAGTAAGTATACTGGCATCAGATAGTGAGCAAGCCACAAGTTAGAACCATTTACAGTTTTAAGTAGAATTTTGAATAAAAACTAGTTTTCATTACGAGCTTTTACCTTTAGAGAGTGTAAATTTCAGATTGTTCCTACTTATGAACAGTAGACCAGAAAATAGGTGTTTAAATATCTACCATTTCTCTAAACAGAGTTCTGTGACATTTCATAGTGCCTGTTATTCTGTACCACAAAGAGTCTGAGTTCAGCCTACTGAGTGATGTTTTTTAAATGAAGGGTTACTCACAAAAAAATATATTACCTAAAAATACATTTCAAGCTACAGACTTTCCCTGTTTAAATTTAATTTATTTTAAAATCAAGATAACTTTTACGAAAAACTTACACTGAACAGAAATGGCACTAATGCTACACTCATTACTCAAATAAAACCCACGCTGAAATCAGATAAAAAATGTTACCTGATGTGGTTTATCAGGTCGTTGAAAGAAGTCACAATAGATGTATCCTAGCAAACCTTCAGTTTCATGAACAACAGCCTGAAGAAAAAAAGAGTATCATTTCCACAGTGAAAGCACTGATGTGTAAATTGAAGACACAATATTCTAATTCAAAGATTTAAAATTAATAAATGTCAAATGAACTGGGAATAATTAATGTAAAATCAGTTGGTAATTTTAACTGAAAAAATTATATATAGAAAATTCACAGCTTGTCTCTCAAACTACAGACATTTCTGCATTTCACTCAAAACTAATCAGTCACAGATCAGTATTAAAAGCAGTCCTCAAATGTCAAACAAAAGCCAATTTACCATGGATATAAAAATAGAAAGAGTAAGGAGTAATTAAAATTGACCCACAGGATATAAAGAACAGCAGCTCTTGCTGGAGGCTGGAGGTGGAAAAGCAGTGGAGAAGATGTGGCAGTCAACAAATGTAGGGAAGACAACAGAGGAACCTGGGAACTTGATGAGCAAGTTATTGCCCAAGTTACTGCCCAAGTTTTTATTTCCACCCACCCCTAAAAAGAGGGCAGAAAAATAAAAGGCGTAAAAATCAATCACAAAGTAAAGATGACACACAGAGTTAAAAAAATGAGGCAAAGACACATGACTGCTAGGATCCACACCTACAGCATTCTAGTCATCTATGGTTATCTACAAATTGAAACTAAAAAAACTAGCAGGGCTCATTCAAAAGGACATCTTGAAAGGCATGGCAACAATCTCCAAACAGAAAAACTGCCTCTGATTCAGGCACCCTACACAGAGATATTGTGAAGTTCCTAAAATACCAAACATACAAAAGACACTTAGAAAGTATAAAGCCCCTGAGGTCTAACTTGAACTAAAATTAGACAACTAGTTTGTCCTTTTGATAGGTACCCAAGTAATTTTTTAAAAAAATTTGACTTGGCTCACAGGCACACGCTGCCTTGTCTATCTTCCCTTTGGTTTCAGATGCTGGGAACAAGAATACTTACCAACTTTCGAACATCTTCAGACCAAATCTCTCCTCTCTTTGTCTGCTCAGCATAAAGGGAGATTCCTAACAGCTGACTGAACAAAGAGTTCAAACCTTCCATGCATGCCCCAAGAGAGAAAAATGGACAGTACAAGCCAGGATCAATGTTGTACCTAAGGAAATACAAGAATCCCAAATCAGTCAGTTAGCAGAGCTACATAAACTACCATTTTCACCTTCAAGCCACAGGATGTGACAAAATACACTAATTCAGTCCCAAGGCCCTTACTAGGCATGCCTTGTTTTTCAAATAGTGAAACTAAGTCACAGGCTAGTTATGGCACAGTGCTTAACAGTAACGTGATTTTTCTTATACTCAAATTTGGACACCAAATTCAACAGATGTTGACTATCATTTTCAGGAATGTGGTGAACATGTAGCTAAACAGACCATGGCAATACAATGGGTGGCCAAGCTGTGGCTTTTGATCCACAAGAGGCCACTGGCACTCAAGTGCCTTTCCCATGCCAAGGCTGCACTGTGTGACTGATCAGAAAAATGAGCTGGTTTTGGCTGTGATGTAAGCCAAATCCTCAGCTAGGGCAGGAAACCAACTGGTAAGCACTGCTGACTCTGCAGTCTTGTCTTTCACTATTTCTTTCAGCAATAGAAACACTAAGGAGACACAATCACCTCCCATGCACAAATCACACTCCAAGCTCTGGGGACTCTCTTGAACCATGTAGAAAGTATCTTGCAGCTTTGGGCCACATGAAGATTTTAGTATGTGACATGGATTTCAAACATGGCCAAGCTTCCTGAGCCTGTCCTCAACCAACTATGTTCAAGACACTGGAGCACAGAAGACAATCATAGGAAGGAAGACACCATACATCTGCACGCACACATATAAACTGAGAATGAACAAAAAGTAGTTCAGAGATGTATGCAACCCATAAGTGGGCTCAAACTTCCTGAGACTCTGACTCTAAAAAGTAAACACACTACAAGTGTATCAAGCAGACAAATGCTTTGTAAACTTACACCTTTCACAAGCTGCTCAGGACCACACAACTCTTTGGAGGCAACAGCAAAATCAAAACTGGAATCTGCTTGCTGTGCATGCACTGCAAATGGCAAAAATGTTCTTGTCTCCTCATTTCACATACAAAGTCCAAGTGTTATTTACACCATTTCAGTCACTCCCTCCTATCTTCTTTCACGCTCTTGTGCTTTTGCTTCTTAGCTTCTTTGCTTCTAGCATCAGCTAGATTACAATAGCTGGACACCAAAGACAAGAACCATGCTGTTTTATGGCCTATGATCAAAAGACTTATCGACCAGCTGTGAAAGAGCCAGCTAGTTCCTATTCACTCACCTATCCTTCCTTCCTTCCCACTTCCACACAGAGACGACCTAAAAATGAAGCCCACTGGGGATACTGCATTTGCCAATGTGCTGCTTACAACTGCAGCTACGATTCACTACTCAGCTTCACTGCACTGCGAGGCACAGCAGGGTGGAGTTACTCCTCTAAGTGGAGTTACTCCTCTAAGCCACAGACATGTTAAAGTACAAAATTTTGCTTATTTTCACACTACAAACGCAAGAAGCTAAAGCCAGTGTATTCCATTCTACTTTACTAGAACATAAAAAATAAAGCAGATTTTGCCTCTACTATACTAACACACTTCTAGATGCATAGCAACACTTGAATCCACACTTTGCATGCTTCCATACACACGTTTTCCTTCTTACTCAGAAAGTCATTACACCAAAAGAACGGAAAGAAGCATGATACAAATCAGTTTAGATCAAGTTAGATTAAAAGACTGTAAGCAAGTCTCTAAAAGAAAGCAGAAGAGATGAGTTCATTTCCATATAAGCCACAAACATTTGGAGTACAGAGGACACTGATTCACACACAAAGCCCCCCCAGAAGTACAGAATTACAGGGTATGTGCTGAATATCTGGAGAATTTTTAAGTCAGCAAGTCCTCAGTATTGCAGCTCCTTCAAGAGTGGTGTTTTTTTGAAAACTTTAGCAGATAAATGTCTCCAGACTCTTACAGAATCACCCTCTGATCACCTTCTGCCCAGATTGTTACGTGAAAACTTAAACCCACCACTAAGTGCTTCAGCCCTCCTGATTCTACTCTGAAGCTCTCCCTGCATACAGACTACAAGACCTGCGAAAATGACCCTTCTTTTAGCAGCAAATCATAAGAACTTCCATAACAGTCTAGGACTGCTTTTTGTCACATCACTTGATACAACATCTGTCACATTTGATACCATCATCCTACATAGCAGTATGATGATCAGTAGCACAAAGGTTGAAGGCCAGTAACCAGCAGTACACTCCAGGGGCCAGTACTGGGTCCAGTCCTGTCTAGTCATTGGCAGATGACACCAAACTGGGTGTCAATCAAACTGTCCACCAAATTGGCTGATTTATCAGAGGCTCATGGTGCCATCCAGTGGGATCTTGACAGCTTGGATAAATGCGCTGACAGGAACGTCCTAAAGTTCAAAAGGAGAAGTACAAAGTCCTGCACCTGGGAAGGAACAACCCCCGGCACCAGTATATGCTGGGGGACATCCAGTAAGAAAGCAGTTTTGCAGAAAATGTCCTGGGCATCCTCGTGGACACCAAGTTGAACATAAGCCAGCAATGGTTCCTTGCCACAAAGAATGGTATCCTGGGTGCATTAGGAAGTGCACAGCCAGCAGGTCTAGGGAGGTGATCCTTCTGCTCTACTCAGCACTGTTAGGCTGGAGTGCTGTGTCCAGTGCTGGTCTCCTCAGCACAAGAGAGACATGGACATACAGGAGAGAATGCAACAAAGGCCCACTGAGATGACTGAGGGCCTGGTGTGTCTCTCCTATGAGGAAAGGCTAAAAGATCTGGGACTATTAAGCCTGGAGAAGATAAGGCTCAGAGGGATCTTATTATTAAGGAGTATATATTTCTGAAAGGAGGGTACAAAGAGGACAGAGTCAGGTTCTTCTTAGTGGTGCCCAGTGACAGAACCAAAGACAATGGGCACAGATGAGAGGTTTCATCTTAACATCAGGAAACAATTTTTTTCCAGCGAGGGCGACCAAACAGTGGCACAGGTTACTCCTAGAGACTGTGGAGTCTTACTACTTGGAGATATCGAAAAGCTGTCTGGACATGATCCTGGACACCAAGCTCTATGGGACTCTGCTTTAGCCGGACGTTGGATCAGACAACCTCCAGAGCTCCCTTCAAACCTTAACTATTCTGTGAAGTTGTTATATGTAGCCTAGGACTAAGAACACACAGCTGCAGTATGAGAGAGATTCCAGCTTTATCAGAGGAGGACAACATTTCTTGCTGACTGCAAAGGATTAACGTATTCAGAAATACTGAACTAATGTGTTTGCTGGAGGGGTAAGGAAAAAAAACTCTGAAACTACTTTTCATTTTGTTTCTGTCAGAAACACCGATACATACCAGCAGGAGAAAGCAATGATATTTCTTCATGGATAGAAGAGCTGACAGTAGTGTATTAGAGGGAGAAGATCACTTCTTCCTCATTCTTAGCACTCCTTTAACATGTACATTGTCCCCATGAACTTATCCCACGATAATGAGCATGAGAAGAAGGCTTCCTGATAGGTATTTTGTAATACACTGTCGCTATCCAAAGTGAGGGGAGTGGAGGGGAAATCAGTCTGTAATAGTTTTGTCTTTTGAAAAAAGCATGATACTTATCCACCCACGCATAAAAATAGCAGTAACGGACTATAATGCCTTAAGGCAGACTCCCCAGAGAAACTAGTCCCCTATTCTAGCTGATGTTTGAAGATGTCACAATCTTGACATTTTGAGTACAATGAGGTCCTGACTAAACAACCACTTTAGTAGGAACTGCACAGTTAATATAAGCCTCTTCTGGTAGAACACTGTCAGGATCAAACCTCTCCCACATTTAATGAAAGATGTGTGTTAATGCTCCTCTTGCCAATGGAAAATAAAAAAAAAATTTTTGAAAAACAACTTTTTTTTATACAGAATGCCAAAACAAAATATTGTTTCTGGTTCTCATCTCACCTAATTGTCCATTTCTGCCTTGCCTATCATATCAGTGTGCAAACAAGATTAAAGCTTAAGATACTGAAAAATCCTCAAATACCACTAGCGTCTTATGAGACAAAACTGATTTTTAAATTGCTTTTGGACACACCTGACAGCAGTCAGCAGTAATTATTACACTCATTATCTGGCATCAATTTTTTATTTGTTTGCTGGCCAGTGCAATGTCATCGGAGTTATGGAGAAAGGGGTTAAAATGATACTATAAAGAAATTATCACAATCAGATGATAATAATCAATAATACTTCAAAATGAGTACTGGGAACTAAAAAAGAAAAAGCTCCAGGAAGTGTGTAATACATCTTCAAAAATCTTTGTCTAATACCAGTCTATACCCACTATGCAGTGATCATTCCAGACACCAAAACACAGATTCAATTGCCAAGTGTTGAATTTGGTCCTACCTCATACATACATGAACTCTGTTTTCACAAATTAAGTAAGACCAACCGTAATTGAAGAAAGCCTAACCCCAAACTTGCACTGATTCCAGGAAAACTTTCTCTTTGGGCTTACTTAGGAATAGCAGTGAGCCAAAACCTCAGCTATCTGAAGCTGATGTCCTATAACCAAAAACTCAGTTCCCGGAATTATTATTAATAGATGATCTTGCCTTTCAGTGGCAAGAGCAAGCATGTGACTGACTCTTTTCTGAGCCCTCACCTTCACGATTTAATGCTACTGCAAAATGAAAAGTGTAACACTAGATAAGATTAGAGGACAAGGGGGAAAAGGGAAGAAATTAATTTAAAAGACTTGAATCTTTCCCAAAAATAAGAATACTCAATGAACAGAACAGGAATTCCTACAATCTCTACTAGATCCACAAAACTTAAATCTGGCACATGGGTGTGGGTGGAAAAGTATTTGGAAGAGTTTACAAACTAGCCGTTCCCTTATTGAAGATTCTTTGTTGATTCCAGGCACTCAAACGGTAGCAGCCACTAGCAACTTCATTGTTTCCAGATGACAAGAAAAAAGCATCTGTTAGCTATGATTTCCCAACCTCACTTACAACTTCATCACCTTAGTGAAACTGCAAGAATAC